TTCCAATACGTTTTAAACATTCTAAAACCGCATGGGAGATGACGTCCAGTTCTTAAGCCATCCCATACACCCTTTGTGATACGTCAGTCTTCACCAGGGTCGTCAAATCCTCGTCCTGGATTACTATAAGTTGACCACTTCAGGGTTCATCTTCGAGGCTAAAATCTCTGGAACGAAATTTCACAAACATCGCCACACAGTGCGTTCATTACCAATGTCATAGCCGAATTCTTGGGTAATTTTTTGAACTGTTTAACAGCGCTTTCCTTCAATTTGAATTCGTAGAGAAAAGGTGCAAAAAATTGATATTTGGAAAAAATGAACAGCACCAATGTATGGAGTACAAAATTCTTTATCGATCAGTATACGTAATACTGATTTTTTTCTGATTTGGTGGGATTGAAAAACATGGAAAATAATTTTCATTGAACTCTAGGACCACTTCAGATAAGAATTTTTGATGCTGAATTTGTATCAACATTGATAAAATTAATGTTGAAGTTTTCACAAATATCTTTGGATTTGCAGTTATGTTTTCATCTTCAGATACATATTTCATTTTCGTCAACAGGTTTACCTAAATTTGGTGTTTTAATTATTTATTGAACCTAGATATCGCCAACTTTGAAGTTCTGAATATGCGACAGTTACAAAGATTAACTCATTGATGTCAGTTTCGCTGAGAAACGCCACCTTCAATGTACACAAGATTTTATATTTCAAACTTAACAGAGGAGTCGTCCCTCTTTGCTGTCGGTTTATTTATATAGTCAAAATGCAACAAGTTATAGACAAATTATAATCCAGTCGTATCAAAGTACTTATTACAGCTGATTGGTTAGAGATGATATAATAAGTTGTAATACTAACATATTATATCTCAAATTTCCTCCACAACGATAAATCGTCCTCCCGTTTAGCTGGAGACCTGAAACTTCTCCTTGTGGCAGCAGTACTACCCACATATTCATAGGCATTATGTTGTCTACACAGTAGAACTGTTGCTGTGTTGCTGCTGTGTCACGAATTGCACTAGTACTTATTATTTTTGATCATTTTTTATTTTAATCGATTGTTATTTTCTTGATATCACGTTTTTTTCAAGGTATTTTCCTCTCTTCATTTCAGACATATTATTTTGGCTTCAATTAACTTCACTATTGATAAATTAAAAAACATACTCAACAGTTTTCTGCAAGTCAATACAATTTGATGCATTTTATTTTTGTATATCCCCGTTTCTTACCAGCGTATTTTTGACAAGTATTCATTTCTTGTAATCTTCCATATTACTTTATCTCTTTTTGTTGTTGTTGATGAATATTCAACTGACCCAACAAATACGAAAAACTGTGTAATGTAGATTTATTTCTCGGATAGATTCGGCCGTTACTTGATGAAGATTCATATTAATTTGCTGAACTACACTTTCAAAAAAAATCATATCTTTAACGGAGATTTTTAAATTTTACACACGAAAATGAAATTTTGAAGCTAAATCACTTGGATGTAATGGAAACTAATGAACTCGAAAATTGAAAGATTTTACTGAATGATCAACTGGATTTGAGCAGATTGCCATTTATTTGTGAAGCACTGTTTGGAACCTTTGGTGTGGAGTTTTTTTCCAACACCAAACCGTTATTTTAACACCTCGATACGTGTTTCGATCACCAAGTGATCTTCAAGACGAAGATATTGGGAAAACACTCCAGTAATATTTAGATCACCATTATTGAACTTGTTTTCTTAGAAACCGATGAAGTATTATTATTGATGTGGAATTGATGTGGAATTAATCATAAATGAGGATGTACCTTTGGTAGATATATAAAAGTTGAGGTAGGTGGGTAATTATGATCGAGTGAGTATCTGAGTAGGTAGTCTCTCAATTGTGATTACGTGGGGTTATATACCAGGTCCGCCTATTAAATAACGAGACTGGTTTCGAAATAGCGTTATATTAAACAAATTATTTTACATTCGAATGCTTCCTTCCAATATACTTTCTTCGCCACGCCACTATTTATTTTTTTCGTTTTCTCAATTGATCGAAGCTGCGCTGAAAGCCTATTTTGGTGAGGGCCTTTAAAAGCTTTGCCGTTTTTTGCTTTACCGCTTCCATCGACTCAAATCGGGTTCCTTCCAAAGCAGATTCAATTGCGGAAACAAAAAAAGTCCTACGGTACCAAATCTGGCGAGTACGGCGCGTGTTCGAGCACTGGAGTGCGTTTATCGGCCAAATACCGCTTCACAGATAGCGCGTTATGGGCAGGTGTGTTATCCTGGTTCAAAATTCCTGAGTTGTTCTTCCACAATTCGGTCTGTTTCTTACAAACTCGTTCTCGCAGTGTTGCGACTGATTGACAGTCCGACCCTCTGGAACCCATTCAGTCACCACGATACCATTAATGTCGAAAAAAAACGATCAACATTGCCTTGAATTTTGATTTGGAAATCCTTTCTCTCTCACTTAAGCGCTTACATCACTCACAAACACGCGTACGAGTGAATTGTCCCCATAGGCCTCTTGCAACAATTTATAGCAGTCAGTCGGGGTTTTTTCAATTTAACGAGAAATTTCAGATTAATACGTTGCTCCTGTTTTTCGTCACATATGGTTTTGGGGAAGAGAAAAAAAAACACGTTCGTTTCAAACGTGCACAAATACTATGATAGTGACAAAAGCGAGTTTTGGTACGTGAATAGAGAAGATTTCCAGATACCCAACGCTCTACTCGTTTTTTTCTCACCCCTCTAGGGCGCGCAGTCTCATTATTTAATAGCCGGACTTCGTAAATATTAGAGTAAAGAACTGTGAACATGTGATATATTTTTTTAATGAAGTTTGTGGGGATCAAATCGTAAGGTGAAGTTTATGAAATGAAGATTCATGTTTTAGAATTAGTTAGGTTAGTTTTGAGTTATATCATAAAATTGTAAATAGCAAGTGTTGGATGGTACAACACCCTCAGGTGAACTCCCCCTTGGAATTTATGAGTAGCATAAGGCGAATACCATGTAACATTTTATTTTTCTTTGGAAATGAATACATTATTATTATTATTATAATTATTATCATTTTCCACCGTAGTGTGCGCTAGTCAGGCCCTATCCCCGAAGCCCCCGATACATTCGGAGGGCGCGCCAGAATTATCAGCCACTGACCACTTCCCACACCGTGGGGTAAGTCTTCATTGGGTCCGAGAATCATGTGCCCTGAGCAAGCGCAATAAGCCAAAAATGACAGACTTCTGTATCTGTGCGGCTGAGATTTCTGCCTTAGTGCGGCAAGCTGGTATGATTTTAAGATTCGAGAGTAGAGAGGGCATCATTTCACCAAGGAATCCAATAATTAGAACAACCATTTCGACATATTGCTCTGGATACAGTCTGCGAAGTCTCCGTTTTTCCTCTTCTTTTCTGCCGATATTCGTCCCGCCAGGAGCTGAAANTCTGAGCAAATGCAAGATGAGCTCATGCGAAATTGTATCAAATGCCTTACGGTAATCGATCCAGGTCATAGAGAGGTTACGCTTATATTGTATAGAGTCCTGCGTTACACATCTATCGATGATCAGGTTCTCTCTACATCCAGCGACTCATCTCTTCGACCCTCTCTGCTCATATATCCGTTCGAACACTCGGTCAACTGCGGTGAGTATTCGTGTGTATAAGATGCTTGTAAACAACTTATAACACGATTTCAAGCATGTTATCGGTCTGTAATTCTTAGGAACCGACAAATCTCCGCTTTTTGGGATAAGAATGGTCCGCCCCTCGACAGACCAATCCGGAATCGGCTGCTCTCCGACCAGCCATGAGTTGAAAACTCTGGCAAGATGGCGGTGGTACTTGGTAGTCTTTTCCACTAATAAGTGATCAGCCCATCTGGGCCTGGAGCAGCAAAGTTCTTGAAACCAACAAGGGCCCTTTGAACGTCATCCGGGGTTATCGGGTTGCGCAGTTCATTGGGCTCAGGCTGTCGAAGCTCTCAGTTGAAAGCTCTCTGTTGGCCGCCCTGTAATCCATCACACATTGGATACGACACGCGTGTTGTCTCGCCGACGTGATCTTAGCCTCCATCTTGTGAACACGCCGTTCAATCTTCCGAACCGCAAGGCCGGGATTTTGTCCTTTCGATTCGGAAAGCGATTGTACGACGTTATACACGGCGGTGTTGATTTGCCAGATGTCAGCCTCTTCTGTTAGAACACTATGAACCTCCGCATCCAAACGAGCCAGTTCTTGTGACTTCAGGGGCTTAATCCTGTGGAGCGCCCTGCGTGTTCTGATTGTCGTCTCCATTGGTGGTATGATGCGGGTCTCCTCTCCAGCCGTGCCAACGGGTGGTAGAACTTTCACTTCTACCACTTCGATAGCAGGCTAGGAGGAAGCTGAATAGCCCTGCCACCGAAGATAAGATACATAATCCCTAAGGTTTTGGGCGAAAAAGGCGGCATGCTCTGGATGTGTTTCACACCACAGAGCATGCAATCTCGCCATGTTCCCTCTTCGCGCAGGCTCACTACTCTCGTAGCAATGCATAAGGCTATCTCTTAGCTCATGCGTCCACGTCCGTTTTCATTGCCAGGGTTGTCATCAGTAGGCAAATCATCGTTATGGGCCCCACCACCTTGCCTCTGACCCCTCCGAGCGGGTCGATTGTGGGGGCCCCTTCCTTGATTATTGGGAACCAAGTGTTGGGTCCACCGGGTGGGTAGCCCTTTGGACCCACGGCCGGCACCGGAGGGAGAATGGAGTTCTTTTTCCCGGGTGCGCCTGGGCTGCCGGTCCGGTTTTGCACCAGTTGCTCGGGTAAGTGGTGTCGCAACTCACCAAAGGCCAAGGGCGTTAGTGGCCATCCCTGCTCATATTATTATTATTATATATTATTTCATTATTATTATTATTATTATCATTATCAATCATCATCATAATTCATAATCAATATGGTTCTATTAGATTTTTCTCTGAAAGTAGCTTAATTCATATTGAAGGTACCATCACTTGAAGGTCGCGGAGAACCGCTGTTCACAGAATTTCGAGGCCCGTATGTCACTGTAGCAGATCGTATGAAGGCTGCACGAGAATTCATCAGGACACAACTTCATTCAGAGGTATTCTTTCTTTTCTATTATGATGTTTTGCTCAATTATGATTTTCGAAATATCTTATTTTTAATTAGAAATTTTATTTTTGTATTTCGATTATTTTACTCTACTACTAATTAATCGATATATTTTCATTGAACTTTTTTCGAAAGCAGTTTTACTCATATCATAGGTACCAACATCTCGAGATCGTTCTCCGCCACCACCAATCCCATCAACACCAACTCGTCCACTTGGTCCAATGTACTTTCCTCGTCAGTTCGAATCAGATGGTAATTATCCTCGCTGGCTCTCACCAGATCTTGACGAAAAACTTGAAGACTTAGAACGTGATGAAGAATTCTTCGATCCGAAAAGGGGTGGAATGTACTCTAGGTTCCTCATTGTTGGAAAAACTTCTACAAGAAGAAAAGATCTCGGCAAATCATTCGCTCCGAAGGCGGCTGATATAATAACTGAAGAACCAGAAGAGCCACCGAAAATACCATCCCCACCAACTCCTCTTTCTCCTAGAACGCCACCTGTAAAAGTCTGTCCTAGAACTCCTCCACGACAATCCCCAATGCGAACATCACGTGAGTTTTAATTGATTTTGATGGACTGATGTATCAGATGAATATTGTATCGCTATAAGTGGTCAGCATTCATACCAACCGGAAGTAAATAGTTCAAGTAACATCTGGGCTGAAAAGTCACAGGCCTAGGAAAAAAAACGCATTTTTTTGTTCAAAATTGGCTTTATTCATCAACGCAATCTCCATCAAGAGACACACAATCATTCCAGCGCAATACCACTTTTGTAGATCGATTCATCTTTTACCTCAAAATAGGCCTCAGTTTCAGCAATAACCTTTCCATTCGAGAGAAATTTCTTACCGGTTAGGATTTTTTGAGGTCTGCGAACAGCCAGTGGTCGCTGGGAGTCAAATCTGGCGTGTATGGTATATGCGGAAACAATTCTGAGCCCATTTCATGCGATTTTGCCATCATTTTTATTGATTTGTGACACTGCGCATTGTCCAAATGAAGCAGTACTTTTGTTTTCTTCAAATGGGGTCGTTTTTTCGCAATTTCGGCCTTCAAACGCTCCAATAACGCTAAAACTATACTATATTCCTTCTCGAGATGGTCGATGAATATTACATCTCGCACATCCCAAAATATCGAGGTCAAAACCTTTCCAGCCGATTGTTGTGCTTTCGGGTGATTTGGACGAGGTTCACCAGTTGCTCTCCACTCCACTGGAGTGGAGTGATGGATCCATGTTTCATCTATTCTCACACATTGACGCAAAAATTCCAGTTTATGTTTAAACATGGCCAAACACTGCTCAGAATTATCAAGACGTTCCTGTTTTTGGTCAACAGTGAGCTCACGCGGCACACACTTCGAACAGAACTTTCTCATAGTCAAATGATCATGCAATAAAGAGCCAACACGTTCTTTTGATATATTTTCAATGTCGGCTAACTCACGTAACTTCACTTTTCTTTCGTTCAAAAAGATTTTGTGGATTTATGTTTTCTGGTGGTACTGCCTCATTTGGACGTCCACTGCGTTTTGCATCATCGGTGTCTCTACGACCACGTTTGAAGTCAGCAAACCAACATTGAATTGTCGTTTCTGATGGAGCGGAGTCCTTATAACACTCCTCAGGCCATTGCTTTGCTTTAACGGCATTTTTCCCTTTAAGAAGCAGTGCAAAATTTAAACACGAAATTGTTTCTGATCCATCTGTTAGCAGATGACACAACCCTAGTTCATTCAGAAAAAAGTTATGGAAAAATACTTCAGAGAACCAACAAATAAGGAAGCAACATCCTTGTTTATGTATATAACAAAGAGAGAGTCAAAATTAATGAAAGATCACATAGTATTTGATGTTCAGAGATTAAAATATTCATGTGTAAGTAAAATCATAGTATTCACCACTGGAAAGCGACGAGGTGGTGGTGCAGGCGTTTTCACTGAAAACAAATTTGAATTTCAAATTGAAAAAAGTTCTACTAATAATAATTGCTTCAAAAATCAAGGTACCTAACTGTATTTTGTGTGGTATATATTGTTCACCTAGAGTGAATCATCGGAACTACTTGAATTTCATGAATGAGACATTTTAGAGTTTTGATAATCACAAATGTGATATTTTATTTTTTGGTGATATGAATGTGAATATTTCATTTGCTAATAATAACACAAATCGGTTAATGTAATCTATAAATTCAATAATGTCTTCCTACTCACATATAGTCAGTGGGCATACTTTAAGTTCAGGCCGGTCTCAACCCCCTACATTGTAGCTTAATGGACTGACACCTATCGAAAAACAACTACTCCCCTGGCTAATACCACGAAGAGCGTTGGATCATATCCGACAGTTGTCAGTGCAGGATTCTTCACTGAAGTTATTCCTGCATAAGCTGTTGGCGATACAACTGCCGCAATAGATTCAATTATTGGAACACAATTGCAGACCGGTTTTGGGCTGTTTGGCCACTCGTCAGTGCAAGGTAGTGTAAAGCATCAACATAAAGTCGATGATTTCTGATAATTGAAAATCGAATTCCTTCAGAGTATCATTCCTCGAACTAAGCAGAAGCAGATAACAACAACAGATTTGTCATCGCCCCATTTGCCTGTGAACGAGGTTACCAATTGCATATCCAAAATTTGCTCAATTCCTCGTTTAAGGAAAGAAAATTTCTCACATATAGTCAGTGGACATACTTGAAGACTGGCTATAAATCAAATCATCTATAAGAACAATTAGTTCAGGCCAGTCCCAACTTCCCACACTCCCTACACCTGTCGGATATAATCCAACGCCCTTCGTGGTATTAGCCAGGGAAGTAGTCATTAGTAGAGCTAGCCGCTCGTGCCAGCCAAAAGTCAGGAAGAAATTCCAAAAATCCACGGCTTTCGAACTCAAAAAAGTGACACTGAGTTAATAGATTTTTTTTATTTATGGAAAAGAAAGTTGGCAACGTTGATTAAAGAACGTGATAAACACTTTTAAAAGAAATTTCTGATCAAAAATATAACTATTTGAATGAATGAAAGGCAAAGTTGTAGATAATAAAGAGATCTATAACTTTTGTTGTTACAATTTTTCCACATAACCTTAAAATTTATATGAAAAATTCAAATAACCAAGTTTTTGGTTTTTTATTTTTATCTTAAAAAAAATCTACAAAATTTGGTGAAAACTTACCTTTTCATGTCCCAAATACACTGGATTTATTTCATTTTGACTCAATATCAAACAAGTACCCTGATTTTCAATCGAAAATCTTATCAAAATATCAGCTTTTTTCAAAAAGTCGGTGTTTTCTTTGTTCGTTGAAATGCGTACTTTCTGATGGTTTGAAAAAAATATACATAGTAATAGTAAATGTTCTCAAAAAATGCAAAACATCGAAAAAAACTCGAATTCGAACTTTTTTTTCTAATCATTATGCACAATTTTGAGCTATATTTTGAAATTTACACTTTGATTACTCAAACAACATAATATTCTATGTTACATTGATAAACGAAAAAATTGCAAAAATAAATAAGTTAATAAAATTAATATTCAATTAGACATCTACAATATTTTTAGAAGATTCAGAATCTTTTTTAAATAATATTTGTAGATGCCTTTTTATTGCCGTTTCAAAATAATTTATATACTTGAGTGACCTCAGCCCATTGAAAGGTATTTCAAAGAGAAGTGGGGAAGGAGATAGGAGGTTTTTACAGAAAATGGTCTCATGAAAAATGAAAAATCTCAGCTCTACGAATTATTTGTGAGCGTGAATAGACCAACGCAATCTGACGGCATAGTGCATGTCGTCGTGGATTTTAACTGCACAAAGTAATTTGGCAGAAATATGAAATGATGGAAGAGATCATGAATGAATATTTGCGCTATCTAGAAAAACATTACGCAGCAACCAGCTATATTGTCACTGATGGGTACCCCGAAATTAAAAAATCAGTTACTGTCACAACAGAACCAGCAGCTACTTCAACTAAAAGAGGAGAACGTAGTCGTAGAAAAACTTCAGACAATATTCCAGAGTTTGATTATCAAAACCATACAAAAATACCGTTTCTGCAAGAAAAATGTTTATCTAACGAGAAAAACAAGGACAAAATAATAAACACTTTGAAGAGAAGGTTACAGTCACAAGGGTTTTCCTGTAAACATGTAGAAGAAGATGATGTTGACATAATTAATGCCTCGATAGAAATTGCCAGAAATACTAATGAAACTATCATTGTTGTGGGTCGAAATAATGATCTTTCGGTCAATTGAAAATAAATTCAAATAATCATGACATTTATTTTCTCAAACCAGGTTCTGGACATGTGAAGCATCTATTCATCATGTCTAATAATTTCAAACATGAAAACTTCGAAAATATTGTTGCATTTCTGCATTGTTTCTCCGGTTGCGAAACAACATCTGGATTTGCCGGAAAAGGAAAGAAAGGTATCGTGAATTCATTATTAGACGCTAAAAATTTGTCAAATGTGGCCAATGTTTTTCATAAGAAAGATGCAAAGTAAAGAAGATATGAAAAAATGGATTGTAATTAATCAAATCTATTCATAAATGTAATAATAAAAAATATCACTGGAATAATTAAGATTTCAATAATATCAATTGGCAAAAATTAAATCATCTTTCATTTTGGCAAACCTCCCACCCATAGAAGGAGCAGCAGAACAAAATTTTTACAGGTCATATTATCAACTTCAAACTTGGTTGGGTAACGAACTGACAGCAACAGATTGGGTCTGGAAGCAACATTAACGTGGCGTCACGCCCAAATTTACAGAAACGAAATTAATTCCGGAAGTAATGCTTAAAATTATTTGCTGTAGCTGTGAAACTAGATATGACAGTTTAAAATGTGGCTGTCGAAAACATGTTTCAAAATGCACAAATTTATGTTCAAATTGTCATAGTTCTGACAATTTCTCCAATATGGAAGAAAAAGCCTACGAGGAAGTTAATGATTCAAATGAAATTGTGGATGAAGAACCAATGCAGACTGGAGATAATACTGGAGATGAAGAAGGTGATGGTTTTGAAGATTTCGAAGATCAACTATAATTGAAAAGGTTTGTCGAATCTAACGATGAAGAAATGTCATCAGAGACAAAAACTAATGGATATGTGATTAAAATTCGAGATGAAGTATATATAAATAACAAGATTAACGTTTTTGAAAATATTATAAATAATAACGTAATCAGAATGAAGTATCTAAATTCAATAGTACGATTTACATGTATATTTATATTTTATGAGATTTTCTATGACATGAATGTAATCAGAATT